AACTTGCTTTAATCTGACAACTTAATTCTCTTACAACTTCATTTACAGAAAGCCCACGTATTTTATTCCACTTCAGGGCTTTAAAAATTTGCTTTCTGAAACTTCTGCAAACTATTTTGGCATTACACAAAACTGACATTAGGAAGAGTCTTTACAGCAACACGGAGGAGAGTGCAGCACAACAGAAATGTAGAGGAATATTACCTGTATGTCACAATTACAAAGAAAATGGTAAAAATAATTGAAGTAGACCAGGATGAAGAGGTCAGTAATGACAATAGTGGGCTTAAGCCCGGAACAACCTAAACACAAAAGGGGAAAGAGAACACAATAGACAAGAAATCAGAATTAGGAGCTTAACCTGGCAAGGATAGAGACCAGGAAAATCGTGATGATAAGAAATGACTTGAAAAGGCAACACACAAACCCAAAGGAGTAAATACTGTTAGTAATAAGTATACCAACTGGAAAGCTAAACCAGGCAAAGATTTAGACCAGCAAAGAGAGGCTGGAAGTAAGAGGATAGAAGTGACATGATAGAGCAAGTCAGTTTAAGGAAGTAGAAAGAGTAAAGACATTTTTCTCCAGAATTTGGAAGGAAAGCCAAGAATGCAGATTCGGCCTTTCTATCTTCAAAATTTGACACAAGAATTACAACATAGTGTCTCTACCAGTTACTAACAGAGAAAGTCTAAGTCACTCCAGTCTATAAAGATTGTTTGCAGACGTGTGCCTGTGCCACAAATTGAAACCTAATTTTGGTTTGGGGTTTGTTTGGGGTTTTTTAGGACCCTGGGAAAATGTTGCCAATATAACATTCAATCAGTTTTCCCATGTCCACGTAGTACGATACAGTGAAGATAACACTACTCCTGACAGAACTGGTTTCATATTCATCAATATGTTCTTCCATATTCATCATAGTATCTACAGAAAAGCCCTTGCAAATTTATCTTCCCCAACAATCTTTCACAATAAAAATGTATTAGTTAGCTGCTTTTTGTTTTAATAACAAATTGAAGCACAGAGATATAGGTATATTTATCTAGTAACCGAATTGAGATATACATTTTTTTCCAGAGTACTCCACCTACTAAAAGCAGAGGTCTTGCTAGCTTCAGATACAGCTCTGAACACTGAGCGCTTACTAGTATCAGCCTACAGAACCGTAAGCTCTATATCACCTCCCAACAGAGGCACAAACACTGTCCAAGTGAAAGGTACGATAGAGGGGACTAGTCCAGCATGACACAAACTCTGACAAAGAGTTCTAGAACAGCTTTCAGTTGTCTTAGTTTAGTTTTCCTATTGCATTCTTTTCAACTACAACAGATAGCACTGAGACGTGACAGAAAATGTCCCTCCCCTTTGCTACGCAGCCTGCCTATACAGCTTGCAAAGTCAAATCCTGGACATTACAAGACAGGAATCTTATGGGGGCAAAATAGCACATGATCATATAAATCATATAATATAATGCATACGTAGAAGGGAATTAACTGCAGGCTACTTTTATTCTTTCATTTCTTACTGCTTGACTACTTGATTATTTCCATCTTATTGTACTTTCTGTATGCCATGAAAGTATTGCTTATTATTTGAAATACTGAAAAACAAAGCATCTAGTGAAAAAGATCACTAACGTTAAATATGAATACAGGATACGCTAAAAGAAACAAGCAAACAGAAGCTGTCAGAGCTACGCTGGAGGGACAGTCATTCTGCTAGTGCCACCTGCCGGCACCGCACCACTCTTCCTACAGCATCAGCTGCACTGATAGTAAAGAGCTGGTTATAATCTGCCTCCAAAAATACAGCAGTCAAACAACACAGGTTTTATTACCACTTGTCATACCTTCAGTGCACACACAAATTAGCTACTGTAACGCTTCAAGTGAAGGTATCAATCAGTTTTGTGTTAAACTTCTGCCCTGCATAGTCAGCAGCTAAGAGGAAGGCGATGGAGAGTTCTCACTGCAATGCAATCCTGGTGATTCACAAGCTTTTTAACACATGATATTTTAAAAGTTGGAAAGGTAACTATAATATCAAAGAATTCTCCTTAGATGGAGAATGTGATCAAGTGTGGAACTCCTACAATTACCACAGAATCTACAAGATTCCTTTCATCCAAGGAGGATGTCCAAGCAGACCCCTCTCCCCACACACAGTTCAGAAATGCAGCAAAAACAGAGAAAAATTTGCAGTCACAATAAAAAGTAGTTTGACACAAACTATTCAATACTAGGAAAATTATATTCTTTCTCTTGTTCTAAAGCACCAAAATATTTTTTAAAAAATCCTTGCAGAATAAAAGGCAGCAAGGAAGCAACACAAATTCAGCACAGGAACAGAAGCTATAGAAGTATCAAAATCTGGTATCTATTCATGAGACTCCAAATGGGAAAGCTGCTTTATAAGCTAGAAAACCTTAAAAAACAGAAGCTGAAGTTTTAAAAGAGGAACTAAAGTAAACACTCTACTTGGAACTGATAAAGAAACAGATATTCAAGCCAAATGACTTCAAACAGTTCTAGATAAAAGAGTAACAACGACATAGAAAGGATTATTTTGGATAAAACAGGATTTTTAGAGCATTAGATAATCCCAGGGAAGAGTTCACAGACCTTTTCATATTTAGCATACGGTAAAGATGATCACACAAATCACCAGACAAATGAGATCTCAGCTTTGTCATTACATCAGTAGAGCTATGTATTTAGTTCCTTACAGAGGTTCAATAGAAGTGGCTAAGAGAGACATCAACTCTCTTCCTGAGCATGCAGCAATGTTGTTATGAACTCTTTTTTTATGGTTAAATAGTCAAAGAAACTCAGTCTTGTAGCTTTATCATTTTCATATCAAATAATCCTGTTGGTATTTTTTGCTAAAGAGAGAATCGTGAATGTTGGTCCTCTTTTCCTTTTCCTTGTTTTCCTGGTATTGCAGGTAGAATACAAACAGCTTTACTTAAGAGATCATCACTTTCCCCTTTGCAATATATGGCACAGGGTCTTTTGCTGTTTCTTCACATTACAGATCCTAGTTTTATAAACTATAAATTTATTTATATGCTTGTAACTGTCAATTATGAATTAGCACTCTACTCAAGTGGCTATATTACTTCCAAACACAGCCTGCATAGCAAGAGGCAGAACAGCATAGCAGGAGTAATGAATCTCCTCCACACCTGAGCTAGTAAACCCTGACACACTCCAGTTGGCACTGAATATCAACAGTTCAAGTGCCTGTACTAACAACAAATAAACCAGAACCCAAATAAGTAATGCGCATTCAATTGCGACTGTCCTTTCCTTCTCCTCCCATTGGTTTACTAGAGATTTAACATTAGTTTATACTGGAATTACTCGTACCCATTTACGAGAACAATTCAGGTCTCTAATAACGCCTTTGGTTTATCAGAAAACAAACACTGTTATGTCTTGAAGATAGCTCTGGACTCCGATAACTCCAAAGCGATTCATTACTGTCGATGCTAATAACCAAAAGACTGTAATGAGTTCGTTGGATAAATACTGAAAATATAAAATTATGAAACATGCCATACAGCAAATCTAAATAAAGGTAAGTTAGAAGTATCTACAGCAAGAGTACTGGAAAGCATGACAGGAGAGAGAATCCGTGATGATTTTGAATTATTCTACTTACCTGATCACATAAACATTTGTGACACTAGCTGTGTGAACCCACAGTTGAGAGGTGGGTTCCCAATACTTTATCTATGATTTCACAGGTATCTTAAACTCAGAGAGGAAATGCAAAACCCAGAAACTGGATCCATTCTCTAGAGGAAAGTGTCTTCTAATCACACACTTATTTATCTCTGAAGTTTGATATTTCAGCAACATCCCCCCAACTTGAAGCCACTCCAGTCTACTACTTGCCCTTATGTCTATCTTCAATACTCAGCCTCATCACGCCCAGTCAACGCTTGTCCCTCCACCTTCTGGGTTCTCTGTGTTCATATCTTAACCGCACTTTGACTTTCCCTTCCTAATACAACACACTCCAGTCATTGTTCCAAATCAATCCTAATTCCATTCTCAACACTTCAACCATTTCCAGCCCATCCAGATCCTTATCCAGTTCATAGTCTCCCATTCCTTGACTCTTAGTGCAGGGCACCTTCCCAAAATTTTCTGTCCAAGTTCATTCTCCTCTCCATTCTTTCCCCCTGGACCCTGCAGAGTCTCTAGATTTTCTAGCAACTTGTTCAATCAATCCCAGTCTTCCCTCTTTACCTCAGCTGCTCTTTTCATTTGATCTCAGTTATTTCTTACACAAGTCAAACCCTTCTTTCCTCTTGCTGACTTTCATTCTCAGATTCCACTTTTTTCCTATAGGCCCAACTCCCAGTCACATTCTTTTTCTTCCATTCCTCCCACTGTCATCAGATCACTTGCCACAATCCACAAGTCCTTTCTTAAAAGCAGCCAGGTTCTGGGGAGACATGTTCACTGGCAACACAGGGACTGTTTGCTCTCAGTCGCAATACCAAGGCAGCTCTGTTGGACAGCAACTTGCAGCAGCAATGGTCATGCTTCACTTTCATATTCCTTAACTGCGGCACAAGGCACTGCCATAGCCATAACCAAACCTTCAGAGATCTTTACCAGTAAATGCAGTTTTTGGAGAGCTGAGTTCAGATTTCTAACTAGGGAAAAAAAAAACAGCTTCTAGCTTGGCCAAGGTAGAGATGAAAATTGTATCAAGAGACAGAAGCACAGCTAGCTATCTGTGAAAGAATTCCAGTGTAAGTCTTTGTGTTTTTAATACAAAGCACACATTCATACGTGGTGTATTAAATAGCAAAGAAAGTAATTTAGAAGTTCCCAAAAGTTAACAGAAGACAGTAAGATTGAATTTTAGATTACAACTCACTCGCTAGCTGTTTGAAAGCCATGTTATTCTAATAATCATTAATAATGACCACTATTTTAACCACTGAAAGTGCATACCATTACCAGAATAACACCTACCTCTCATAGATGGTTTTTAAAGTCAGTTGATCTGGAACACCTTCAGTCTCTTCAAGATGCAGGATGAGCCACGATGTTCTATATGGCCACTGCTCTGTAAGATTGATCCAACTAGCCAGTCTATCCCAGTTGAATGTGATCTGATTAGCTCTCAATAAACGACCTAGTAAAACAGGGAAGGAGGGAAGAAACACAGGGGATTTTTTTCCCTTTTGAAATATATCATTTTTTTTCCTCAAAGTAACAGCTACCCAAGTCCTTTAACCTAATCTGTGAACTATTATATTTTTGGCTCAGTAAATTCAAAATCACCTCAACCTGCATCTAAAAATATCATTTGACAATCTAATAAAAATTCTTGCAAATACTGGTCAGAACACAAGACTCTCCAAAACTGTCAGTTTCAGCCCCAGGTTAAACACTAATTACTATTATCCTGTTACAGGTGAACCTTAAGTTACTTTAACAAAACTCAATAGAGGATTTCACACAGCATTAGTTTCTCAATCTAAACACAAAAATCATGCTAATACTGTGTACTGGCATATGAAATACAGTCAGAACAAGTTAAGCATGCAACTGCTGTCTTCAATAGCCAATAAAGTAAAATGAAAAGCTATAAACAAAAGACTGTTTTAGTTAATAAGGCAAGGTATGAGTTACAAATAAAGTTAATTTTAAACAACAGAAAAAGTTAATGCTACAGTTTATGCATTTCCAGTTTTAGCAAGTTTGCTAGAATCACATTATTAGTATTGGTGACAACGTGCAACTTGCAGCCTGAAGGCTCTGCTCATGAAGCTGTTCATAGAATCATCATATATATGACCACAGATTATAGTACGGTAAAAGTGTTCTTGCAGGGTTTGCTTGTTTTTACAACTAACAGTTTGTGATTTTGTTATACTTTCACATCTGCACCATAATTTGCCAAAACCAGCCATTTCATGCTACAAATTGTAATGACAGTGCTAAAAGACTGCACATGTATTTAAAAGATTAGCTCAGAATTTTAGGTCTGTTGTCACATATGAATGATCACTAAAAAAGGGAAAAAGGAGGGGAAAATGGGGAAAATGACATATCAACACTCTTCTATTAATTACACCTGCATTCAGTTAATGGAATAGAAAATAAGCCACAGGTTATTTTACTTAATTTAGAACATCATTTACATTTAATTATTCATAACCTGTGTGAAGGTAAATCAGGACAATCCAAACTATGCAAGCACTGGGAAATAGAACTTGAGAGACAGCCAACCCCTCTGCGTTACCCAGGTTGGCTCGAGAGAGAGCTGAACCTCTCTCAGGTATACAACTGTGTCCTTGTATTATACTTCCTAGGGAGATGATCACCTTGGCACTGTACCAGACCTGAACCAGTTCCACCTGCTTGTGACATGCTGGAAATAAGTAATCCCAAATGCAACATTAAAAGCTGGACAGTGGATGCAGCACTGATACTAGCACTATAACATGTTTCTGCAACCAAATCGAGCAACAGGAGTCAGTTCAGTTTTGGCCTGTATTATTACTCTGTGCACCTCCTGATAAAGCAAACACCCTAAGTGAGACCTGAGATGGTTGCAGCAGATTTCTTAGCTCCAGCTACATGCTGTGCAGTAGAGACTGGCTGATTTCTAAACTGCACCCAGTGTAGGCAATATGGCTACAATGACCCGACACAGAACTTAATGCCAAATTTGTTGAACTCATCCTTGATATGCCCGCAGGCAACTGTAGTATTTCTGTATCTGTGAAAGTTGTCTTCCTAAAATTCTCCCTCTCAAGTGATCCAACTCTCATTAGAAAATCAAGATGATTTTTTACTTAAGCATTAAATGTTGTTGTAGAAAGACATAGGTCATATTTCTAGAAATGACACAGGTCATTTAACGTAATCTTTTATTGCTAATATTATTGGTAGAATTGTACTGTAGTCTTCCTAGCAATCAAATTTTATTAGACTTCCTGAAATCAGAAATTTTAGAGATTCTATTTTCATTGTCATAAACCAGAGCTTGTGATAATTTGATTAATGTTGGAATAACTAAAAACAAGAGCAGAACTCTTTTCCTTCAAAGCACAGTAATATTCAATTTGATCTCCATTTGTACAGTGTAGTACTACTTGTTGTTTAGTGTCTAATGTCATTTCATTAGAAAAAAGACTTTCATTTATCATGAAAACCAAGAACTCCGATTAAAAGAATTGAAGCAGCATAAAAACCAAGTAATCAATTTTATTCAGGGGAAGAGTTCTACAGCACAGGAGGTGTAGGATTAGTATCATCTTTCAAGACCCTCCTTAAAGTGTAATGTAGGATGCTGTAACTAGGATCAATTTGTTAGGGAAGAGCTCCAAGTTGCACCGCTTCTTCTTAAAGACACCACTGATACCTAATAGGTCAATAAGAAAGCTACGATTACATGCAAGACTTCTAAAAGCACTATTTGTCCTTTCCTAAATTCAGCTGTAGGTAGAAGAACAATTGTTTACTGTCTCTTCAATCATTACGCTACTCATTTTTTTATAAGCCAATAACCTTACTTACCAGTGGCAAGAAGTTCTCCTGAATTAACCTTCCTATTCGCATCCTATCTTATCTAATGAACCTAACTTAATATACTAAAAATGCATGCTAAATAGTACTTTAATTTTTAATTAAATTAAATTTAATTAAATTAATTTTTAAGCATTAAAGACAATACATTTGACATATCTGTGAATCCCTTACATTTTGCAGTTAAGTCACAGAATCACTAGGTTGGAAAGGACC